TGTTGCGGCAAGTTCGGTTGCTGCTGTTGCTGTCGCTGCTGTTGCTGTCGCTGCTGTTGCTGCCACTGCTGTCGCTGCTGCTGCTGCCGCTGCTGACGTTGCTGCTGTTGTTGTTGTCGTTGCTGCTGTCCTGATTGTTGCTGGAACTCGTTCCGGTTATACAACTGGCCGCCTCGCCGCGGATCAACTCCCGTCTGTTGGCTTCTCCCCTGTGGACCGCGTCTCGGGTATTCGTAGTCTGCCTGACCGCCTGCATGCGGATCCAACACCTCTCTCGAGTAACCGTCGGAGAATCCACCCTGGCCTTCGTACTCATAGGGACGCTGAGGTGGGTCGGTGATGTGAGTGTTATCGACGTGGGGCGGGGAGCTGGGGATGCTGCTTCCTACCACGGCAACGCCCGGACCTAACACGTGATCCTGCTGCATGGTGACCTGCGCCATGACCTGCGCAGAAGAGACGTCCATAAAATATGCAGCTGCCAACGACGGCAATAACACTAACATAGTACAGCAGTTTTTATCTCAATAAATGTAAGTGCTGGATGTAAGTATGTAGCGAGCTAGAGATGTAGAGGCGTTTCAAGAGATAGAGTAGCACGGCTTTTCCAATAAACATAAGTACTATATTGTATATATAATGTATATATAATGTAATGTATATGTAATTATTATAATATAATGATTATATCGTTTATTGGGTGCGAAATTAAAGAAAGTTAATTCTAAGAGGAACTTCAGAATAATTTGAAGAACATTAAAGTCGACTAGATAAGTAATGAGTATGTGAGTAATTTTAAGCATCTTACCGACAGCGATAGCACTAAAACAATCCACGACATGATGACGTCACTAGTAAAAGTTGTTTTAATAGAATTCGGTAGGGTCTGCAAAAAAAATCAACGCATGAAATATCTAACGTAATTTGCGGGAACCGTAGAGAAATATATTCTACATTACGTAATATGATATTATAATATATTTATTTGTTCAGCCGGAGAAAATGCAACGGATTCTCAGACTTCTCAACGGTATATTAAACTTAAACGTTTAATTTTAAATATTAAATTTCTCGCACCATCCTTAATTTATCCATAAATATCATTAAGTACATTCGCAAACACTAAAACCTTTTTTACGCATTTTTATGCATGCGCAACGCGAATCTTAACCGTTTCCCTGGCAACAAGCCAGTACATGTAGTGTAAGATTACGTCCACAGTCACGCCCGCCTGATGTATTATAGATTTATAGTCATGCTATTAGAAAGAATTGTCGACTCATAGCGATGGCTTACGAATTCTCTATATAACTTCACGCATGTTCTACCTAAGAATGTCACAGAATAGCTTTTCCGATGCTAGTTTCATCCTAACCTAAGGTAGCAGCTAATGTGACAGTATGTACACACTATGGGGACAGAAGGGGGTCACTGTAGACAACGACACGAATGCGATGACACTCATAACGAAAGCGACCTGCGACATCAGCGACAAAATTTACGACGACGACAATGACAACGACGATGACGATGACGGCTACGACTATGACGTCGGCGACGATGACGAGAACAACAACAGCAATCGCAAACAAATACGATATGAGGCCTACAGCTGCGCGTTACAAGCATGCATAACTCGAACCACCGAGATACCTCAAGCCGGAATTTCTCGAAGTTCACCATGTAATAACTGATTTGGCAGGCGAGAGTTTACGCGAAAGTAACCAGTTGTGCGCTAGCACGCGAGATCTCTACCTCGATCCCTCCAGGGTCTCTCATAGAACATAGAACTAGTTTCTCAGTGGGCGTGCGACCCAGTGACTGAGGGTCCCCACCCTGATGATCTCATCTATCTTCATGTTAAATGAATGTTGCAAGAATTGCAGCGAGCGATGTTATTATTGAGTATTAAAGGCTGCCCGTACGTGCTGTATGTTTCGGACAGGCATGAACTTGAACAGGGCTACTGCTGAACAGAACCGCCCACGTGCACAACTTTGCGCACACTTGAGATTTCTTAGCCTGTGGACAGGGGGACCATATCGCCACTAGTGAGTGCACGCAGAAGACAGACTCAGCTGGATAAAAGTGTGTATAGATATAGCGTGATATGAAATGCGTTTAATTCGACTGCATGTTACACATGTTTACAAACATGAAACGCAACGTAAATGTGTAGAGAATGTTCAAGAACCAGAATAGCCTATTATTATTATGCATGCGTTGTACACACGTGTACGGGTGGGTCACGCTCACACGTGCGCATACAGACGCACGCACACCCATTCGCGCGCGCTGACACCAACACGTGCAGGCACGTACATACACGCAAACACACGTGAACACCTGGGCTACATGCGCATGCACGTACACACATGTGATTACATATAGCTACATACATGCGCAGGGACGCACACACATGTGATTACATATAGCTACATACATGCGCAGGCACGCACATACACGTGAACACACGTAGCTACATTAGCAAGCACGCAGACACACGCCGACACACGCAGGCTCACACACATGCATGCAATGCTGCTACAAGTAGCAATGTTTTTATTCAGCTTTTTCACGGAAATCTAGACTCACTACGATTTCATTCGGCGGAATATTCATGGACTGGCTTTTATCTAAAACCTGTTGTACACAGATCTTGAAATATGTTAGTAGATTTGCATTACAATATTAGCAGTAGTTTTAATTCATGATATATATCAACGCAATTAAACTGTTAGAGACATTTTTGAAAACTGTTCAACCCGTATTTTTTCAATTTGAGTCATTATAGCTTTATCCTGTCACCAGGTGGCAGCATGGGTCAAGAGCAGAAATGATATTTGTACACAGCTTAAACGTAAATCCAAAGCATCACCTTTACTCGAGAAATTCTGGTTGCTTAGGTGAAATTTCGTAGCCTGCGGTCAGTAAACCGCATCGCCATTAGTCCTCGTAGAAGACCGAGACTACTGGAAGCCAACGTATGTAAATCTGCTAGCAATTTTACTGCGTATGTTAGCAAACTTTAACCCCAACGAGAAAGTGTGGAGAATGTATATAATAACACAGAATCGCCGAGCGTGATGCATGCGTTATACACATGTGCATGTGTGCTCGCTAGCACACGCTCATACGCACGAACGCAAGCATGCATCCACACGCGCGTTCACACCAACATTCACACGCGCACGGCGACACACATACGTTCAAACAAGCACACGCACACAAGCACATGCATGTACGTATGTACGCGCGCAGACGCACGCAGAGGTACTCACACACACTCCTGCACGCACGCACATGCATGTACGCAGTCACGCGTGTACATACACACACATTGCCTGCCCTTATATAATGAGAATTGTTGCTGAAACATGAAATACTGGCGACCAGGGACAGGCGGCAGGGAAGGTAGTTGAGTGGGCGAGGAAGAAGAAGCATGCTGAGCGAGGGGCAAGCGAGGCGAAGGGGAAGGACGGTAGCGAATGAAGTAGGGATTTGCACCCTACAGGCTAGGGCGCTCTCCTAATTATAAACACTGGTCTACTGATAATAATTTATTACATAACTCTATGCTGAGATACCCCCTAACCATATTGAATGCATATTTATCACAAAATATAACTCCTCTGGTGAGATATTGCGCATGCGCTAACACACTAACGTAGACAGATTTGTGTACTAATTGGTATATGCAGCGGGGACCTTACATGCAAGGTCTTCTTCCTATTTCTCAAGTGAGGTGTACTGATAGAATTTTAGCATGTAAATCTATGCTAAGATAACTCTTCTTCATATTAAATGCATAATCTTTGCAAAATATTGTACTTCTTGGGAGATATTGCGCATGTGCGAGCAACGTTTCAGGCGTACAGTGTCCACTAAATAAAACTGCATTATATAGCTTTCTGAGGGAGAGAGGGGTGGAAGACTAAAGACAGGTGGCATGCAGGGAAGATAGCTGAAGGCGGTAAAAGAAGAAGGTAGCTGAACGAGGGACAATATATGTGCAAGGTGCAGGGCGGGAGTGAATGAAGTAGGGATTTGCACCCTACAGGCTAGGGAGGTCGTCTTCATATTTCTTAAGAGCGGTCTACTGATCGAATTTTATCATATAAATCTGTGCTAGGATAACTCCTCTTCTTTTTAACTGCATAATTCTTGCAAAATATTTTTTTTCTCGGGAGATATTGCGCATGCGCGAGCCACGTTTAGGCGTGCAGTGCGGACTGAGGTAAACTGGATTATATAGCTTACTGATGGAGAAAAGGGGTGGAAGACTGAGGACAGGCGACAGGGAAGATAGCTGAAGGCAGTAAAAGAAAAAGGCGGCTGAGCGAGGGGCAATATAACATGCAATGTGAGAGACGGGAACGCGTGAAGTAGAGGTTTTACACCGTACAGGCTAGGGCGCTCTCATAACCATGAACACAGGTCTACTGATAAAAATTTATTACATAAATCTATGCTGAGATACCTCTTAACCATATTGAATGCATATTCATCACAAAAATATAACGCCTCTCATGAGATATTGCGCATGCGCTAACACACTAACGTAGCCAGTTTGTGTACTGATTGGTATATGCAGCGGGGACCTTACATGCAAGTTCTTCTTCCTATTTCTTAAGTGAGGTGTACTGATGGAATTTTAGCATGTAAATATATGCTAAGATAACTCTTCTTCATATTAAATGCATAATCTTTGCAAAATATTATACTTCTTGGGAGATATTGCGCACGCGCGATCACCGTTTCAGGCGTGCAGTTCGGTCTGAAGAAAACTGCATAATATAGCTTGCTAAGGGGGGAGGGGTGGGAGACCAAAGACAGGCGGCCAGGAACATAGCTGAGTGAGCAGTGGATGAAGAAGCAAGTTGTTTGTATGATCTGTATAGTTTCGACAACTGGTCAAGCTGGTTTAATAATATAGCTTTACCCTGTCACCAGGTGGCAGCAGGTGTCAACAGCAGGAATATTGTGTGGACGCGGTATGTTTGTATGCGGCTTAAACATAAATAAAAAAATTCGTTACTTGTGCTATTATTGTTGCTGGTGAGGTGAGATTTCTTAGCCTGTGGACAGGGAGACCATATCGCCACTAGTGAGTGCACGCAGAAGACAGACTCAGCTGGATAAAAGTGTGTATAGATATAATGTAATATGATATATAATGAGAATTGTTGCTGAAACATGAAATACCCAATAATTTTGTGCATCATGCCAACACTCTGTATTGCCATGGCACCCTCTGTAACAATTGCGCTGAAGTACATTCTCAGGCGATAGGGTGCTAGTGATTTATACTGAAGTAAACTCAATCACAGTATAATGTTACTTATTATTTATATTTCCTGCTAGTATTTTTTTAATTGGTAATTTTAATTCACGTGTGAGATCCACGTAAATTAACCTGTTAGGATATTTTCGGTAATTGGCC